CAGTTACCTCCCACCAGGTTCCTCCTACGGCATGTGGGAATTGTGGGAGTTACAGTTCAAGATGAGATCTGGGTGGGGACACAGCCAAGCCAATATCAGCATCCATCTATAAAATTCATCCCAAAACATTTGGGGGTGGGGGGCACCGGCAAGCGAGTGACTTGTGCTGATACCAGTTGCTTTGCCCACAAAGCAGAGGCCTGTCTCATCATCCCAGGGAAGAGAAGACACGTGGATCTTAGAAGCCATCCATGTAGCACTCCCCAAAGCCAACACAGCCACCTGAGCAGCGGGAGCACTCAGTACCAAGGGTTTCACAGTTTGTCACACATGGCCACACGACACTCCCCGTGAGGCAGACAGGTCAAGCAGCAACCCCATTCAGGGACAAGGAGAAGACGTCTGGATTCCAATTATCCTCACTACAAACCCCTATACAACACGGCATTACACATAAACATGCAGTTCTGCAAGTAACACTTGTGCCTAAAATCCAAAAGACACACCTGTTAAGTGTCCAAAGTAGAACCAAAACTGTCCACCACTGGCCTTCACAACCCCCTTGCTCCCCGAACCCTCTCCTCCCAACAGGAGGTATAGTCATCAGCTTCGGTTCATTCAAAGCATCTCATAAAAGCATACAAACAACTCTATTATCAATACCACGGAAAGGATGATTGTCATTTACATTAAAATGCGATAACAATTTCTACTGGGCTAATGAACCAGGTCTCGGGAGCTGTTTTGTTCTCTCCTTGAACATACTCTGCTTGCGGTTAGGCACTATAAAAAACATGTTTATCTAACGGTAAAACCAACTTTCATCCCTTAACCACAAATTAACTGTGACACATCTGAGAAGCACGCTGAACTGAAGGGAAGCTGGCATTCGAAACCTGTTCACTGTAATCCACAAACCAGGGCTGTGCGTGGATAACTAAGAACTGTTGGCCACATGGAAACTGACTCAACCTGACCGCTCAGCTCCCTGGAAGCCCCACGGCTGCCACACGGGACTTGCTGCCTTCACTACTCGCAGACCTGGACAAGATGAGAACGAGTTCCTACAACAACATGGCTCCGTGACTGAGGAGCACCTTCCGCCGCCTCCTCTAGACACACCTGCCCGACGGACGGACTCGGTCAGTGGAGGCACCGCCACGCTATTTCATCTTCCTTAGTAAATGATACATATTCCCAAAGAAACTTATTTTTAAGGCACCAGAAGAATTAAAGCTCACCCCAAGTGAAGAGGTGTGGCCTCTGCTCCTGGTGTTGTCCACTCCCTCTGGGGAAAGAAGGACACAGAGAGTGAGGTCCCTCCTGTTTGCCTTTTTCCACAAGCTCCAGCTCCTAACTTCCACCCTGTACTAAACTGCCAGAAGCCCCAATCTGTTAGAAAAATTCTCTTAAAAGATAAATTCTTCACTGTATGCTCCCAGCTTTATAATAATCTCCTACTCCCAACTCCCAATAAAACTTTCATTTGAGACTTATGATGGAATGAGTGAGGTTTTACTGCAGAATTTTCCACTGAAACAACGGTCGGCATTTTTCCTCCAATCTCTGGCAGAACACAAACTTATGCACCTACGAGGTAATAAGGCAAAGCCTTAAATTTAATCAGAAGAAACATTTCATCAGTGGCAAACTGATAAATTATTTAGAAAAGGGCTCAATGGGCCTAAGCAAGGAAATACGGGCCAGATAGTGGCTGGCAGCCTTCAGAAAAAAATATAATCACCATGGTTTCTCTCAATTCCTTTTGAACTGGAATCACCTATATCAAAAGCTAGAAAAATGAAGAAGAACAAGTCCAAGCGTCCCAGCATCGGCAAGGAAACCATTAGAGGCTTCCAGGCACCACTCCGGTGCCACCGACAGGGGCTCGGCTTTCTGCACCTCCTGGATGGACGCTACCTTTGAGGAAACAGGCATTTTCTACTCTGCTCCCATCCATGACAGCGTGGAGGCAACGACTCCGGCAAACTTTAATGAAAATAACCTCATTTTCATTAAATGACCGAAGGTTTTCCACTCTTGAAATAAAGGACACCGAGAAAGAGAAAACCAGATATATGGGTCTTTCCATCGAAGGCCTGGGAAATTTAATAACGCCCCCATTGTTTTACTGCAGATGGCACATCAGCCTCTTTTTATTACTGCAGAAACTCGAGAGCCCTGTAGAGTGCAATCAAGCGGTGTGTGTTTAGCCTCGCAATGTTTCAAAGGACCCTGATTTACAGTCAGGAACCAGGCCCCTTGCACACAAACATCTGAGCTTGCTAAGTGCCTCCTGTTCTGTGCAAACTCTAGAAGGCAGCATGAGGTCTGCCCCACACTGAGAGCCGCGCTATCTATGCCAGGCCTCCCTCCCTCTGTCCTGTAACCCACGGAAACCCGTGAGGACAAGTGTACCACGCGCACCGGGGCAGGTGCTATTATTACCCAGTGCATATGGCACAGCCCCACGCTCACACCAGAGAGCCGGTCAGAGGTATCCTGTGACATCCGACACCTTAGGCTAATTTCTAAAATAGATGAGGCCCACCCATGGTTAGTAGCAGGAAATTTTTAAACATTTTTATTGTACTTAAAAATGAATGCAATAGCGTTGGCATTCGAAAAGCAAATATTAGGTATCCATTGTTGTGGTTTTGCTTCCTGAATGCAGACAAAAGATCCCACTCTGTGTGCATGAACGGCTTCTTTCTAGGCTGCGGCGGATACTTTATTCCAGATTCCACTTCATAAACCAGCCCAGATGGGATCCCGCCTGCGCTGGTACCTTTTCCGAAGCATCCTGTAATCTTGACACATTCTCCATCGCACCAGCCCTTCAAACGATCTCTTACTCAGAAAATTATTTTGCACATCCATTCTTGAAATGTGGCCAACTTTAACAAATTTTCCCAGACTACAGATCATCCAGAGGACTGCAGCCCTTTGCACCTGCGCTCGCCGTCCGAGTAAAACTGTGCCACTGTCACAGGAAGGGAATCCTCCATCCCGCACTGAGTCTGCACTGTCATCTTTCTGGCTGTCATCACTGACCCACATGGAAAGGTGGCCTTTCCTACCTCATGATGCCTCTTCTCAATGCCACGGAGAGATCTGCTCCTAGACAGAAATTTAGATTAAAAATAACAGATGCCACTTTAGAAGATTCCATTTCCTGTCAGCTAGCATCAACGAGCTGGTACCTACCAAGCAAAACTAATAATAAAGCCAGCAGTAAATCAACTCTTAGCACTCAAAAAAAATATTGTAAATTATAGCAAATGGAATACACATACAATATCTTGAAATATTAAACACACGTATTCTGAAAGGCTATATTTCCTTATCTAATAATTCTTGGAAAAGAAGAAACTAGTTATAATGGCAGAGACTCGTTCTAGAAAGAACACAATTGGTAGATCTGAATTCATTGGGTTACATTCTTTTTTAAACAAATGTACCTAGTAAAGCGCAAAGGTACAAAGCCAAACCCAGGAGATGGCCAGAAGTAGCCGGAAAGGCATTCCTCCAAATTCCCATGGTGGTGGTTAACGACACACCATATACCAACACGGCCATGTCTTCCAATACTGCCACTCTGCCTCACACTCCTGTAAGCGCCCATCTCACCATGCTGAGACCCTAGGGTACCTTCAAAGTCTTCAAAGAAGCTATTTTCTACAGAAAACACAAGGCATCTCGACTACATTTTTACAGGACTCCGCCATCCAAATCTCTCTCCAGTCCTCATCTCATCCCCAAACGCACTGCGCTCTCAAGAAAAAGCCTATGGCATGTTTACATAAACCACCAAGAGGCAACGAATTTCAGAGAGGAAAAAGTAAAGCCATTAGGCATCAATAAAAAACCCATGAAGACACTGCCTTCGAAAGAACAAAAGTCTGCTGTTACTGACTTGACAAGTCGGCAATGCAAAGCATAAAGGTACAGCCTAAGACACAGAGATGCTTCCTAACAGTTAGCTCACGACTGGAAGCAACAGCAGAAACGACCTAAGGGCATTTTTAAAGGCAGGAAAAAAATCATTTTTGGCTATTCTCTTACTCTAAGAATGTAAATAATGCATAAGGAATCCCTAAATCCCAGATTATGTGGATAAATGATCCACAAATCAAAATTCCAACCAAATAAGAGTTCAAAAGGTTCCATAAATCATGTGTTTCCATGAGGCTTACATCAAAAGGGGGAGAGTAAAACTCGCAGGAGACGCACAGGTAAGGCACCTTCTCAACCTGCGTTCTTCATGATGTTCCTTTAGGTAACTCGAGTCCCCACCACGCAAAGCTGAATACAGGGCACCTCCATAAGCGTACAGATTCCTAGTTTTTTTATTAAATTTATTAAATCTCCAAACCAGTTAATAAGAAAGGCTAAAGGTCTTTGGGTGGATTACAAATAAGATCTTAAAGGCAATTTGACACAGTTATATTCTATGCCACTTTTCTTTAAAAAAAAAAGAAAAAAAAAACTGTAAGACACAAGCAAAAAAACCCCACACACACTAATTGGTAACTGGCTCCCTAAAAAGAACCTTATCTTTTGAATCAAAGACAAAGTGTATAACAGGTGCCATCTTTTGAATGTTGGGTGCTTTTTGCGCAACTATTTGAAAACTGAAGACACGAGGAATAGCATTAACTAGTTGAGGTTAAAGAAAAATTACTGAAAATACATTTCCTGAGAAAAATTAAAACCATGGTTAAGAGCAGCAAGAATACTTTTTCTTTTCTAAAAATCTGGAACAAACTTAAGCAAAATAAGTTGCACTGTCCAATGCAAGACTCACAATAATGTGTACGTCGTCAAGACAATACAGCCACCAACAGCCAGCAGGCAGAACACAGGCACACGAAACACAGTGCGCAGGCGCCATGCCGCACAAGGGCAAGGTGTGCATGGAATTCTCACTTGGATCCAAAGAGTGATGGAAACCAAGGAACTGGAGTTTCCCTGTAAGAAGGAAAGTGAAGCACGCTTACCCTTGGCTGCCAGTTCTCGTACTGCTTCTGTAAATTTGCACCGATGGTTTCCAGAGCTTTCTGAGGACCCATCGACAGAGGATCTGAGGAAGCAATGGAAAAGAGAAAGTTCTTTATGTCTGCGTTTCCTCCTCTGCTAGGCCTCTCTTCCACAGTTTCTCCTTATATAACGCACTTCAAAGTCACCTTTGACTAAAAGCCACACAACGCGTAAGGTTGATCAGTGTTAACCAGATTTACAGAACAGCTAAGGTGCTCAAACAAGCTGACACGCCATGAAAGCCAGTGTTTCAACATCACGGGCAAGTGACTGCCGTTCTTCTACCCACATTCATTTGTATTTCGGCACCTGCAGCTTTCCCGCACTTGCACTGTTTTATTCTCAGGCTCCCACTCAGGCTTTCTATGAGAAGGCAGCTCTGCAGTGACAGCATATGCTTCCTCCTGTTCAAACTATGGCTCTCATTGGTACACGAAAAGGAGGAGAGAAAAAGACAAAGAAGTGACATTTTTTAATTAATTTTCATCCACACTCAGTTTTCCCACAAAAAAAATCTGTTTCACAAACATACATTCATGTCCAGGATTTACCCGTTTATTTCAGGAGTGGGCTCCAGAGCAATTACCTCTAAATCAGCAGTTCTCAAACTTGTTTGTTCTCAGGACCCCTTTGCGCTCTAAAATTATTGAAAACCCCAAAGAGCTTTGATTTATGTTGTTGTATCTATCAATATCTACTCTACGTGAAATTCAGATAAGATTTTTAAAATATTTCTTTCTTCATTTTAAAAACAATAACAAACTCATTATATTTTAACATATTTATTATAAAAATAACTATTTTTTCCAAAAAAGTTTAGTGAGAAGAGCAGCACTTTTGTACATTTTTGCGAATTTCTGGAATATGTGGTTTGGTCGAGGATGGGTGACTCTCATCCATTTTTGCATTCGCCTGTGGCAATTCATGGTTTCAGTGACTGCACACGTGGAAACCCCTACCTCACACACATATCTATCATTAGAAAACAGAAGAGTATCTTAAAATGCTATTTTACATAATCATGACTGTTTTTGTTTGATACTACACCAAAAATTATCAAGTGGTAATTTCCCTCAGATTATGAGATGTACAATCTGAAACCACATCAACGAACTTTTTGTATGCTATCACATTAAAATTAACTGCTCTTTGCTGCACCTTGAGTGGATTTTTTACCCATAGATTATTTTGTACCATCATGCATTGACCATTTGGAAAATATTGGCTCACTGAACTATACAGATCTTATATATTTCATTCTCCAATATTTTTTTTAAAAATCCACACTCATTAACATTATCATGATCTCATTAGAAATGTCTTAAGTACTAAGAAGTTGCCAGGCTCAGCCAGGTGTGGTGGCTCACCCCATAATCCCAGCACTTTGAGAGGCCAAGGTGGGTGGATCACCTGAGGTCAGGAGTTCGAGACCAGCCTGACCAACATGGTGAAACTCCGTCTCTTCTAAAAATACAAAAATTAGCCAGGCGTGGCGATGGGCACCTGTAATCCCAGCAACTCAAGAGGCTGAGACAGGAGAATCGCTTGAACCCGGGAGGCAGAGGTTGCAGTAAGCCGAGATCGCATCACTGTACTCCAGCCTGACAGGGTGAGACTCCGTCTCAAAAACAACCACCACCACCACAACAACAACAAAGAAGTTGCCAGGCTCATAGTGGTAGGTATAAGGTTTCCAAATTTTATTTTTTTTATTTGAAATCTCAAATTTTGTCAGTGGAAACAAACAGGGTCAGTTGCTTTCCTTAACGTGACAGGCTCATGTCATTCATTTTCCAGAAAACATCTGCCAACTACTCCAGGTCTCTCTGTTGGGGGTAAAATGCTATCAAACAGCACCACATGCTACAGAGAAATGCTGCGTGAAAGCAAGAGCCAATCAATGCAGCAAATTTTGTTAGTGTCTTAAGAAATTCTCGTAGTCACCCCTACCTTCAGCAACCACCCGCCCATCAGTTGGCAGCCATCCACATGAGGCAGGACCTTCTGTCAGCCAATTAAATGCTAAAAGATTATGACTCGCTAAGGCTCAAGTGATCATTAACGTTTTTCAGCAG